TCCGTTTCATAGCTGGCCTAAATTGTATTGGTAGCAATAGGTAAATTTTGCCCTCGAGAAAGAGCAATATTGCTGATGTGACTGCCCTCATATTCCAGGCATCACACTGTCGTTATTTTGATCGGGGGAAGTGTGAACGCCTGAGCAGGCGTCTTGTTCCATTGAAAAGCACAAAGGCGTCAAAGTTTTGGCCAGATCGGCTCTGGGTACGAGGTTGGGTGGAAAGTAAGTTCAAACTCAGTTGAAACAGAATTATAGCTAGATTATATAGTAATAGTATATTATAGGTAAACAAACATATATGATATATAGTGCCAAATGTGTGTAAAAACTGACTTTCGAGTTATTATTTTGAATTAAAATGCTCCCAAATCATCCATCTACACAGCATGGAAATTTATAATTAATATTTCTTGCATATATGGGCTCTCTTTCCAAGCCTTTGCTCAGTTATAGGTTATGTAGTTCTAACCACTACTGGATTTTAACAAAAGGAATCATAAAATTAGGTTAGGATGAAAAGCATTCCCAAATACACAACGAGTACTCTAAAATTGATTCCGCTTGAACTTTGAACTCTGAGTCGATTCGAAGATCAAATTCACAGTGAAATATAACTCTATTGGATTGCAAACAGAAAATATATCGTTCTGGCAAATGTTATGCCAGAATTTTATACCAGATCGAATTTTAATATTTTTTTTGCTTGGTTTTAAACGAAATCTGAAACAAACTTTTACTTACGATACCCGTAATTGACAAGCGCGCAAACATGATAATAGGATATTGCATACGGACCAGGGCGCTTGGCGACTCGTTCTTTTATAATTCCCCAGCGCCCGCGTTTCTGTTTCTGTTACTGCTAAACGTCGAATTGTCACTACTTGAACGAATCTGGCAACATATTCCTTTACCATTGTCAATAAGAAAAATATAAAATACACGTGCTTGCGCCGTTGAATAGCCTACTGTTTGCCATAAGTCCATACTGTAACGTCTCACTTTAACCACTTTAACCTAGGCTACATATATCGGTTCCAACATCAAATCCATCAATATAGTGTTAAATCGTGTTGTTTAGTTCTTGCAATGCCCCGCGCAATTCTTGATCATCCGAGGTAGTTATATTTTCATTTCGCCCGCGGTTTATACAGTAGCTTTGGAACATTACTTTGTTAAGACTTTGAAACAAGTGATCTCTTTCAGGTGTACTTGGTCTATTTTACTGGCTTAACCGAATTATGATTGGTTACATGTTTTGATACCATCAAAGACATATTTCGAGTGGCTGAAAGATAATTTATCATGAGATGTACACGTGTATGCTTTGCCAATACAAAGATGACCTTTGATACAAATGACAGCTGTAGGTCTGTGACCTTTGTACCGCACGCAAAATATTCAAATCGATTGTCATATTAATTAGACTAAATTTGTGGAGATCATTGCCCATTAACTTAAATTTATAACGTATATAAATTAGCTTTAAGAAATGTTGACCGTTGGATGAAAGCAAATAAACTCTCAGTAAACATAACTAAAACTAACTATATCATTTTCAAATCAAGGAATAAAAAGTTTTGTACTGATATACCTGTTATTTTTGACGGAAAACCATTAATGCAAAAGAAAACTGTTAGGTTTCTAGGAGTTCATATTGACGAAAACCTTACATGGAAATCACACATTAGTCATGTATGTAAAAAAGATCTCCAAGTCAATTGGAATACTATTTAGATCTCGTTTTTATCTGTCTAAAAAATCTATATCCTTATATTATACTTTGATCTATCCTAACTTGACCTATTGCAACACTACCTGGCCTTCCACCTACAAAACTAATTTAAAACGAATATTTCTCTTGCAAAAGCGAATTGTCCGAATTTTGACTAACTCTGAATTTCGTGCGCATACTGCGTCGCTGTTTAATGAACTCAAACTTCTCGACATTTACAATTTAAATGTGTTTTATACCGCAAAATTCATGTTCTCATACCACAACCATTTACTTCTGTAATGCTTCTATGCCATCTTCGGTTGTCAGTTCTTGGCGATATGTGTAGTACGGTTGTACTTCACTTGGAACCAGTATCTTATGATCTGGCCATCCATCTTGTATCTGTTTGACCAAAAGTTGCATTGTTTCGTTTGTATGGATTTCATCTTTGATGGCTTGGAGTTTCCGGTTAGTGACGTAAGACTCGGATGACATCAGATGGATGAATCGCTCCGAAGCTATGTCTTCTTCAAATTGCTCTGGTATTATCTCAGGAGGAAATGCACGTGACAGCGCATCAGCGATGTACATTTCACTTCCTTTCTTGTAAACCAAGTTGATGTCGTAGGCTTGTAGCTGCATTAACATTTTCTGGAGGCGACTCGGTGCTTGTGACAAGGGTTTTTTGAGAATAGCTTCCAGAGGCTTGTGGTCGCTTTCGACAGTAATGGTTTTACCATAAACGTACTGATGGAATCTTTTGCAGGCGAAAACAACAGCCAGCAGTTCCTTTTCGATCTGTGCGTAGCGTCGTTGTGTGTCGTTCATGGCTTTCGATGCGTAAGCTACTGGACCTTGGTTTTGGATTAGAGCAGCTCCAAGACCGTTTTGTGAAGCGTCGACTTGGAGTGTCACTGGTTTTGCTACATCGTAGTAACGCAGAGTAGCAGGGTCAGTTAGTGAATGCTGTAGATCTCGAAACGCTTTCTCGTGTGTTTCGAGCCAGTGGAATGCAACGTTCTTCTTGATGAGTTCTCTCAGAGGTGCGGTGACGTCTGAAATGTTCGGTGCAAACTTGGCGATAAAATTGACCATGCCTAACAGTCGTTGGACGTCATGTTTGTTCGTAGGTTTGGGGTAATTCTTGATTGCTTCAACTTTGGTCTCGTCAGGCTTGACACCATTTGCCGTAAGCGTTTCTCCCAGATAGGTTATCTTGGTTTGTCGAAACTGACATTTGTCTTTGCTAAGTGTCATATTGATATCTGTCACTCGATTGAGGACACGTTCAAGGTTTTGATCATGTTCTTCCAGTGTTCGTCCCCAAATCAAAATATCATCGATGTCCGTCTCGCATCCGGGTAAATCATGAAATTTCTCGTTGACAGTTTTATGAAACACCTCTTGTGCAAACACGACACCAAATGGTATCACAGTAAAGCGATAGCGTCCAAATGGCGTATTAAATGTCGTCAAATAAGAGCTCTCTTCGTCAAGTGGCATTTGCCAAAATCCAGAGTTCGCATCCAGTTTACTGAAGAATTTGGCGTCTGTCAGGCGGCTTGTTATCTCCTGCTGTGTGGGGAGTTGGTAATGCTCTCTACGCAGAGCTTTGTTCAGATCTCGTGGATCGATGCATATACGTAATTTTCCCGAGCGTTTCTCGTTAACTACCATGGAGTTTACCCATGCCGTGGGCTCGTTGACTTTCTTAATGATTCCCCTGGATTCCATTTCTTGTAGTTCGTTCTGGACTCGATCTCTCAACGCTGAAGGAAGCTTACGAGGTGGATGAACAACAGGCGCTGCGTCAGGGTTAATCTTAATGTGATAAGGGTCTGATATGCGTCCTAATCCGTCAAAGCATTTGGAATATTTCTCGAATATCTGTTCACTTGTAAGTCCGTTTAGTGAACTTTGAGGTGACGCGTCGTTAATTGGCTTGTTGCGCAGCTGGTCTACGTTATGAAAGGTTATAAGTTTCATACTTTTACAGTTTCTACATCCGAGCAAGGATTTGCCCGTCTCGACCACTTGAAACTCGAGTACTTCAGTCGCTCCTTTGTATTGACACTTTAAATAGCATTTTCCGATGACAGGAATGTTATGGCCCCCGAAAGCGGTCAGTTTTGCGGCGCTCGTTTTGAGCTTGCTACGACGTTGTCGTTTTGGAACAGCGGCTTCGAAATCTTTCTTTGTTAGAACGTTTGTCTCGGCTCCGGAGTCGAGTTTTATGCGAATTGTCGTGTTGTTAATTTTAAGAGATGCGTGTTCTTCGTCATTGTCACTTGTCACAGCTGTCTTCACCATATCAATTCCGTGCGTCGAGGAGTCGCTTTCATAATCTACATCATGAACCGATTTCTTTGGGTTTTTGGCTTGCGATCGACATAGTTTGGCAAAGTGTCCTAGTTTGTGACAGTTATTGCACTTTTTCCCATATGCAGGGCAAGATTTTAGCTCGTGAACTCGACCACAATTACCGCAGGATTTGTTTGGGGGTTTTCCGTTTTCCGGTTTGTTGTTGTGGTTGCGAAAATTCCCTCTGTAATTGTGTTTTCGCTGGTCTTTCCCCAATGCGTCGACATTGGCGGAACTCTGATCGTTTAGGGACTTCACTTGCTTGCGAGATACTTCGGATGCTCGGCATATATCCAAGGTTTTCTGCAGGGTTAACTCAGATTCACGAAGTAGACGTTCTTTAATACTTTGGTTACGAATTCCACAAACTATCCGGTCACGAATTAGCCCATCGTGAAGTGTCTCAAATTCACATGTTGCTGCGAGAGTGCGCAAAACAGTCACATACTGGTCGATGCTTTCGTTTTCTTCTTGATTCCGTATGTTGAATTTGTGTCGTTCGAACGTAATGTTCTTTCTCGGGTTACAGTAGGTTTTAAACGCTGATTTTAGCTCGTTTGTTGTTCTCTTCCACGTTGTTGCCCCCTCTTGGTTTGTCTCTGTTTCTGGCGTAGCGAACGTCAAGGTCTTGTGAACTTCTCGGCCTTTCTCTCCAATGCATAGAAGAAAGTATGAGCATCTTTCCTCTTCAGACCGTCCTTTCAGCTCAGTCTTCTCGAAGAGCGTCCAGTGCTCCTCAAATTTGCGAAAGTTTTCACTGACGTTCCCGTCTAATTTCAAAGGTTTAGGCGCTGCCCATTGAAGGTTTCCTGATGCCATGTTTACTGCTTTTTATGGCATCCCACTTCTGACACCATGTAATGATTCTATGTGCTTATAGAAGATTTATTCATGAGTAAAAGATACACGTCTGATTATGTCTAGGTGTTCTAGCGAGTGTTTGAGGTTCCTATTACAATTACATGTGCTAGTGATTATGATGTGAACTGTCAATCAACCTAATTGATGAATGTATATAGCTACTATATATGAGCATATATTACAACTTCCACCATCATTCCAAAACTTATTCGTTACTTCTCACCAAATACATAACTATAATACCAGAAGTGCAAGTTCATACCGTTCCTATATGCATGTAACACTAATGTTAGACAGTTTACCGTTCTTTTTCAAGGTCCTAAAATTTGGAATTCTCTACCTGACGACATAAAAAATACAGAATCTTACAATTGCTTTAGGATTGGAATGTTTAATCACTTGTTGCAGTCCTAATCATTTTATTACCGGCTTTTCAATGAGTAATCTCAGACTTTACTTTTCATTTTTACTACGGTTTATTCTATCTATGCTGTCCGTTCAATAATCTATATAAAGAGAAGTCATCCCTTGTACAAGCCTTCTTCAAGCCTTGTACAAGGCTTCTGGACGCCTCCCCGTCACTTCCAATATTTATTTACTTCCATTGTATCAAGTAATGTTTGTTTTTTGTTGTTTTCTTTTCTTGTATTACCCAATGTCTGTACATTATTTAATTATTGATTTATTTTGTGGCAAATAAAGAGATATAAGATATAATGTATAAACATATGCATTGAAAGCTTCGCCGGTTGCACGTGGATTTTTTTTGCATGAAATTTGGATATGTTCAAATTAAGGTTTGAGAAGTTTTATTTTTTAAAAGACACTTTTATCTTCATACTTTTACATTAACTTATTAATATTCTGTGTAACAAGGAAACCGGCCCCTTGACAGGTGTCACGCGAAATTCCTGACTTGCGAAATACATGATTATCGTAGTTCTGACATGCGCAAATGATGCGCATAATTTACATCTGCTCACAAATTTTGCAACTGCCGGCTACAACAACACGTGTTTCTTTGAAGAAGATTTTCCCAGCTGTCTTTCAGTAATATTTTTCCTATAATAATTCAGTTCTAATACACAGAGTTAGAAATCTTTCTGGATGTAAAAAAGCAGAGATATTGTTAACGTTTAAAATTGCTTTTGCTTGTTTTCAGCTGACCTGCATATACAGTAATCTCTGACTCTGTAACTAATTCACAATAGCAGCTAATAAAAGGCACAATCTGGCTAGTTCTACTTCTAGTGGTTATTATCAATTAATGTACTTTTTCGGTTAATTTATAGTAACCACCGTCAAATTTGTGTGAAATGCTTGCCAATTTGTTAAATGCAACAACTTTAAAAGGCTTAGATTCATAATATAAATTTCTTACTTGCTTGGGTTAAATTTATTTATTTATTCAGTTATTTATTTAGCTTCGCCTTGACAAAAAACGTACACAAGGCAAGTACAACAATTCATACACATGAGACATAACAAGAGGCGGGGACACCACAACAGTATACAGCAATTACTGTGGGCCCTCTGGTTAAAATTAGTGACAAATTACAGACGGAAAAAAATCAACTAATTAGTTTAGTGGCAACAGGGATCGGCATCGATTAGATTGCGCGATGTGTTGCACTTCAGGCAAACAGTTTTCCAGGTTCGGGCATCATCCACGTCGTAACAAGATGCAAGGGCATTATGGTAGTATTCTAATAGTGACTTTTTAAATAACGTTAGAGATAAATTATCTAGTCTTAAGTGTTCGGGTAAGGAGTTCCAGGTTCTAGTTGCTCTAATAAAAATTGACTGTAGATAGGTGGCTGTCTTACATCTACGAGGACGGTACGAGATAACACTGTTTTGTGTAATAAATATTTATTAAATAATTAAATAACAATAGTTTGCCCCAAGAGCAACAATTACTCATCTAGTAATTGAAGATGATCGAGTAGGCCTTGAGGGAATAGATCGTTTCGGCAAGATTTCCTTTGGAACAGTTATAATACCATTTATGGCCTTAAAAAAGAACATCAAGTCAAGATACTCATGCCAATACGATACTCATGCCTCACAGATTTATAGACATCAGTCTGTCTTTGTAGGATTCTGTACACGTGAAGGGCAGCTTAAGGATAAATTTTGAAGCTCGTCTGTCTTTCTGTATTATAACATGACTTTCAGCCAAGTGAGTTGGTTGGCCAGTTTGTATGAGTTTTTCAGTACTGGTTTATTAAGAGCGGTTGTCTGTAATAGTCAGGTAAGACGTGTAAAATGAAAAAATTCAAAATCTTTCAAACTTTGTCAGAATGTAGGCCTATATGAAGTATTAATGTTGTGAAAGTTTTATTTCGATCGGATAAATATTGAAGGAGAGAGACGTCGAAATTGGTTTTCCCAGGCCACTTTCGGTTTTTGGAGGTCATTTTACGGCACTACCAAAATCGCTCTATTTTGCACGTTAATGGGAATATTTCACGAAATATAATTTCGTTTGATAAATTAGAGTTATTTATTGAGTAGCAGACGAAATTTAGAGACATTTCTGTAAAAAGTGAAAATTTTACAGATTTTCTTAATGTTTTTTTATTTTTGAACCTCTTTATTATATGTCATATTAGGCAGCGAATATCTCCATTGTTACATCCATTCAGACAAAAAATTCATAACCAGGTCAAAGAAATATGTTTTTGCTTGCTATTGATCAAATAAAATTTTGGGGCAACGTAGAATTGAATTTTTGACGAATTTTTTCGTAACCCCTATTTGACCCGAATAACCGTATGTTATGTAATCAACGTCGAGTCATGTAGTTCTATAAATAACCAAAGAGCTCGTCAAAAGCCTTTACTTCTTCGAGTAAACAAGGCTAGGCCAATAAAACTACCTTAGCTAAAGCTGTACGATTGGCAGAAAGCATTTAGGTATAAATCACACTGTTTACAGTCGCTTATTGTTCAGGTAATGCCTATAATATATTGTATAGCCGGCGCAGCTGATTTGGCGGATTTGGTTTTAATTATATTTTATCGGGGATATGCCGCAATAAGTATAGCAAGTGTATTTTCTCTCCCCTTCCCATAAACATCTGTTCTTTCACGACTCGTCGTGCTTATAACTTTTCGAACGTAAATAGTGCACGCGCTTTTTGTCAAAAACATCGGTCATTTTACGTTGAAATTGTAATTCGTTTACTTACAGTAGTTAATTTAATTAATATTAAAGCTGGATTCTTTCACCGTGATGTCATGCCAAAAGGTGTCTTTTCTATTTTTAAAAAAGACCCGCTGTTGATTTATGATTTGGTAATATTTACTACAGTTGTATGTCTTGTATATTTGATTATTTTGTTGTTGCTCAATAACTTTGGTCAAACTTCAGACCAAACTTCTACGCACTGTTACTTATTAACTGGCCATCACTTTTAAAACAGCAAGAAGATAAAGACAACGTGTACGTGTGAGTTATCCATGAAATCATGAATAGTTGGTTTACAAAATGAATTCCGTCTTCGTGGATAAAATTAATGAGTTATAAATAATCTCTCCTGTTTGTGTTAAGCTACATAAGCTCATATCCAGTTGCTGAAGCCTCTCTTTGTAGGATAGTTCACCGGCTTTGACGCTACGAGATGGATCTTGCGCGTCAAAGCCGGTGAACTATCCTACAAAGAGAGGCTTCAGCAACTGGATATGCTCCCTCTTGCGTACGATCGCGAGGTCAAAGACTTAGTATTTTTTTATAAGGCTGTGAACGGATATATTGACATTGATGTCTCAAATTTTGTTAACTTTGTCAATCATGGACGGACACGTAGAGCATTGAGATCCAAATACTTAGAAACTCCGTTGTGTAAAACTAGTACGTACAGTTCGTCGTATTTTAATCGTGTTGTCAAATTATGGAACAGTGTTTGTGTCTCGATTGATCCTTCCAGTTTTACATCGCCATCGTCTTTCAAACTATACCTCAAGATGAGGTATAAGAATATTCTGGAACTAGTATTTGATCCGGACATGACTTGCACCTGGTCACTTAAACGTGATTGTGGTTGTCACAAATAATAAACTAACTTAACTAATCAAATTAATGTGCATGCATTATATTAATATTTATTTATTAAGTAAATATGTTATACAGGGTGCCCCAGAGGGGACCAAAGCTGTTGAGATGGCGTGTTGCTTGGGAATTGAATTGCCTTAGCACTCTGCTGAACCTATAAATGCATAAAAGCTTGACAAAAGTAAATTTTACGAATAAAGAAACTGTTTAAGAAGTTGCTTTAAATTCCAAAGAGCAGATAATCATGAGCTTACAAAGATATTTTAATTTCTTCAATACTCATATTATATGCATCATGTCGATCATATTTACGTATCTTTGCGTTCAGTTGGTGCTGGGCCGTTCGAATTCTGGCAGTGCGTTGTTTCAGTGGGTTTTTTTTTTTTGGGACACCCTGTACTGTATACTGTGAATTAATTAAAAGGTTTATGTTAGGAAAAGGAGGGGCACCATGCAATGGACTTTACGTCCAGTTTGTGCCTTGTCCGTTTGAGTACAGCTCTTAATTGTATGTTAGATAAATAATTGTTGAATTAATTTGTACTCAATAAAGTTTAACAAACAAAAAAAAAAACAAACAAAAGAATTGTATGTATGCGCGCGCAAATTCAATTAAAATTTCCGATCCGAACAACATGCATGCAACATCACAAACATCATATTCACATGCGTACATAACACCAACACTAAAAAAAAACTACTAAGACTAAATTACCTTCAATTATCCTACCTTATTAATGAACGTACCACATGCTTCCGCAATTATTTTCAGCTATAAATACCAAACCTCGAGCAAGCAATGAATTAGTACAACTCTGCTTCTCCTTCAGAATTTAATAAACGGACAAATCTTTCGCCTTTTACTAAAGATTTCCGTGGAGGAGAAGAAAAGAATGAGTCTATAGACATTTTTTCCTGGCTTGGCTCACGAGCCGAGCCGATTAATTAATTAACACAAGCAAAAAAGCGTCATCAAACCAAGAATTGTATGTATGCGCGCGCAAATTCAATTAAAATTTCCGATCCGAACAACATGCATGCAACATCACAAACATCATATTCACATGCGTACATAACACCAACACTGAAAAAAAACTACTAAGACTCAATTACCTTCAATTATCCTACCTTATTAATGAACGTACCACATGCTTCCGCAATTATTTTCAGCTATAAATACCAAACCTCGAGCAAGCAATGAATTAGTACAACTCTGCTTCTCCTTCAGAATTTCATAAACGGACAAATCTTTCGCCTTTTACTAAAGATTTCCGTGGAGGAGAAGAAAAGAATGAGTCTATAGACATTTTTTTCTGGCTTGGCTCACGAGCTGAGCCGATTAATTAATTAACACAAGCAAAAAAGCGTCATCAAACCAAGAATTGTATGTATGCGCGCGCAAATTCAATTAAAATTTCCGATCCGAACAACATGCATGCAACATCACAAACATCATATTCACATGCGTACATAACACCAACCAGGGGCGGATCTAGGATTTTTCGCACGTTAGTCAAAAATCGATGACGTCATCGATGACGCAAAACGTAATGACGTCATTTGCCATGACGTCATTCGATGTCACGATGATAGTCCAATTTTCGTGGGAGTATAGATATTTTATTTTATCAAACTACAAATGCGCAAATGACATAGTTTTCGTACCTGCCAATGTTCAGCATATATATAAAGTACAGTAATATATAGACTGTTTTGCTTTACAGTGTATACCTTGGTTCATCAGCATGCCTAGGAAACACATTTACCAAAAATAGTAAACCATGATCCAACAAGGATAGCTCCTTGAAAAAGCTGAACACAAACACATGTTTCTGGCACCTTAAAACTAGATTGCTTGCCTTCACACCTTTTGCAAAAGCAAAAGGAGTTTGGTTAGAACTTAGAAATGGGTGACAATGAAAACCACCTAAAATGAGCAATCTGGTTTTAAGGTGCCATAAACCCACCTCACACCTTTCACCATAGCAAAAGGAGCTTGGTTAAAAATGGGTGACAATATGTGAAATTGCCCAGTTTTTCCCTTTAGCCCCTTCCCCCATTCCCCCTATTACTAACCTATGTCTAATCTAATTAAATTCATCATCTTGTTATATACTGTCCACTATGAAAATGTATAACATCACAAGTGAAATGGTGCCTCAAAGCTGCAGCTTCATTGAAAGCCAACTTTTATTGAAAACAAGTTTATTTTACCTGGCATTTTAATTAAACATATTTTAATCACAGTAGATTCAAATACAAAAGATTCATTACAAATGACTATTACTTTACTTATCTAGTTATCTGAAATAATTGGCAAGGTTTTTAACACAGTATTCTACTATTCTTACACCATGCTTACATACTGTATATAGACACATACTATCAACATGGTGTTTGTCTGTCAGGGCCTGGAATAACATTCCCAAAATTCCCGATCATGGCGATTGATCATGGTGATTGATCATGGTGATCGGCAGTCATGACTTTCCCTGCTTTTTCAGGTTGAAAACCCTGCTTTTTCGTTGATCATAAGCAATTTCTTGCTGATTATTGATTGGTAATCAGTTGTTATTTCAAGCCTTGGTCTGTTGAAAAATTTAACTGGTTGAAGATGCAATGGACCGGTCTCAAGCCAATGAGATCAGACCGATATTTGGCATCAGCTTTTGTCTACAAAGCCCGAATGTTTGGGGAGGGGGGAGATTATGGGAATTAAGGTGGTGATCTTGAAAGGCTAAGTTTGGTTGATGATGAAGGAAGTTTTTTCTCATGCCCCAGGAAGTTTTTTCTCATGTCAGTGTTGTGTACAAGAGTGAGGTTATTGTTATTGGAGGCAAGAGTGGTCTTTTTGCAAGCCGATATATTTAACTTTAACCTCATGCATGTTCCAGAAAATTTATTAATAAAGTTTGCTACAGTATGTTAGGATAATATCCTGGTGAATTTGCATCATGACCAAGCCAAGTCATTTAATCTAATTAGTCTTCAACCATAGTGCTTCTTCGCTTATACTGTATAAAAAGTGACATACTGTTTTGACCTTTCACACTTGCACTGTAAACATTTAAACTATCAAGGTCAAATTTATAGGTCATTGGTACCTGTCAATGCTTTAATAGGAAACAGAGCTATACAGCCAATTGCCAGTTGCATTAGATCTAAAAATATAACCAAAGATTATATTATTATAATTATCTTTATAAAGTACATTTGTAGAGCTATTATCACTCAATCAATACTCTATAAAGCATGTACACAATAAATATTTTTTATCCAACATGATCAAATATTTGAGATCAAGTTTCTGCCACTTGAGGTGTTTTAATTTTATACACATATAAGGTCATATAAATGAATATGTAATGCAGTATATGAAACTTTGGACCTATAACCTCGCACAATTATGCAAATCGTACGTTCAATTCAACGATTTATTGTTCAAAATTCAAACCACTTTACCTTATTGCCATACACTTCTTATTAATCTCTTGAAAATATAGACGACGAGAAATCAACACTTCATAGTTTCGGCCAAGACAATTTTCTTGCATCCATCGAATTTATCAGCTTGAAATATTATCCACAGAACACCAGAAAGCATCCCTTATCGTAACAAATAACGATACAACCCTTTCGAAATCTTTATTTCGAAAATAGTTCAACAAATATACTAAGATTAAGCGAAATAATTCGCTTGCAAAATTGTACAGAGCTGCAACACAGCTACCAAGGGACAATGCTTCCAAATTGAAGAATAGAAGGCCAATCAGAGGAGATGTTCTTTAACTCTTTTGCGCAAATTGTCCAATCAGAAGCTGCTATCTATTTGCAGGATTAGTCAAAATAGTCAAAATTGCGCAATCGTTAGTCAAAATAGGTCTGACCAATCAACATGCCTGTAATGTGTAATCTGAGCAAATTTGACCAATCCAATCACATGAACTAAAATGCAGGATAGTCAAATTTCATTTGAATACCGCTTATTTGACTTATCGTTTGACTATGGTTTGACTAATCAATCGCTGGCTCAATGTGCAGAAACTGATCGAAGTTTATATGCTGGAGTGTGATAGAGTTTTGATTGCGTGATCAGAAATGAAGAGAAGTGTTTGCGCTGGGAAAAAATTCAAAAACCTTAGTCCAAATTTTTTTATATGCCTTTTTTTACGTTAGTCGCGTGACTAATCTGACTATCCCTAGATCCGCCCCTGCTGGCAGTCATAAAGAAACTAAAGCCCCATTTCGCCAGGTTCGGTATTCCAAATACTCTCGTGACAGACAACGGCCCACTATGAAGTAACAATTTGAGCATATAACGACCAGTCCCTATCACCACCATTCCAACGGCAAAGCAAGCCAAAAGAATAATTCGAACATGCAAATCATCAAACGATGACATTTACCTTGCCCTTCTTGCCCACCGAAACACCCCCCAAACAACTCATGAAACAAGCCCCGCACAACGACAATTTAACCCCCGTACAAAGACTCCCTTGCCCGTCTCGGAGAAGTTGCTCCAACCGAAGATAAATCCGCAAGCAAACAAACAAATCCAACAAAGACAACAACTCCAAAAGAAATACCACGATCGTGGCGCAAAAAAACTCAGCCCGTTGCGGAAAGGAGAGGTGGTGAGACTACAGCCAACCTGAATCGGCGAAAAGAAGTGAAAAAGAGGGATAGTCGTACGCAAAGCCGGGATAGGATCATTGAAGTCTAATGCAAAGGGTATATCTATACTAGAAACAGAAAATTCATCCGACGATCAAGGTTACCTGCAGAATTCGGCGGTGACAACGGAGATGAAGAGATGTCAGACATGTCCGAAGCGGAAGAGAACGTTTCTGTACCTACTGACAATGATCTGCCCCAAGAAAACACTCAACCAGCACACTTAGGACGCAATGAAACAAGAACCGAAACAAGTTCTGCAAGCAAAACCCGTAGTGGACGGTTAGTTAGAAAACCTGACAGGCTAGGTATAGACACATAAGGGGACGCGATATATATGGTATATTTATAAAGAAAAAAAACTTTAAGCGAAGAGGAGATGTTGGATATTTACTGCTGACATTAATATTTTAGTTATATTTGCTCCGACAGGGGAAACAGGGAACAAAGAAAAAAGGCGCGAAAATAGGTGTAGGACACGGCATTTTAGAGAAAGAGTATATACATGTTATGAGTTTATATTAAGCGAATTATACTATAAGAAATAAAACTTTCAAAAGTAATGAAAGTGACAAGCAAATAACATTATTAACCAATTTTTTGTGCTCTTTTCAAATTCGTAAAGATCCCACAAGTGATATAGGCACTTTAACCACAAAAATTGGCATCTCCATTATAAATTGACATCGCTCTTTAACAACAGGGCGCTTAATTGAAATTAATAGAGGATTTGCATTGTGGCTTTATATAAGTCTTCTATATCATACCTGTTTATTTTATATAGGTGCCTCTTAGCGTACATATTTATACCGGTTATTCAGAAAGAATTAGACACTTTTCGTTATTCAGTTTGGAATTCCCATAGAGTAAGGAAACAAAAGGATGCAAGATTACCTAAAGGAATACCGGATCAATGGTACTCCTTTCCAGAGAGATATGGTGCAGAGGAATGTGGTACGTATTGCAGGCTGTGGTCTAACAACAGTAGTGGTACCCCCCATTTGGGGACGGAAGTAATTAGCATGCAAACTTAGGTTTCGGAAGTAATTAGTATGCAAGTCTAATTTGGCATCGGTAGTAATTAGTATGCAAGATTGATGACGTCACTCGGGCAAGCCTGGATCAAATGTGACAGGTAACGCGACCAATTAACGCGGGCAAGCCTGGGGCAAGTGTGGCAGGCAACGCGACCAAATGTCTGAAACAGTCATTAAGCAGAGCTCAGAATTTTTAGTACAAAAGACAATCGCTTGCTATAGCTATATTGCCATTTCGCTGTGAAAGCCGTACGATGGAGTGTCTGCACGGAAAAACCGCATCTTACAATTTATTAGAAGGAATATATACGAATGCTGTCGCACATGAAGTTCAAAGACTTTGTGTGAAATCCTGTATTGGTTGTTAAGTCGGTCATCTTAGTCAAAGGCAACATGACTCTCTCGTGATGAACGAAAACGAACGATGGCAAATGTATGGTTTACAAGCGATCGAACGAGTGAATGCTAAGCGTATGGTTTGGCGTGAATCCGCTGAGGCAATAGGGTACTTAAACTGAGGGTTGAGAGAGATGTACTCGAACATTTACAGCAAATAGAAAAAGATCCAGATTCAACGCTTGTCAATTCATTGATGGAACTACATCAGAACACTGAGAACCACGAACTACAATGTATACTGAACTATTTGTTTCATTGGAGATTAGAAGATCCGCTCGAGTCAGCAGCTGAAGCGTTTTTCTTTTGCCCACCGAGCTACATGTATTCTGTGAAAGCGACGGGTGAACGATTTAGAAGTTTTGAGGCCGATCATAAAATTGCTTATCAGGGATTCTTGGAGAAAAAAACTTGTAGAACAGTTTAACAAACAGTCTTAGTTGTAATATCTTTTGATACTATCGTCTGTTATTTGTATCAATAAACATGTTTTAAACTTTGCAAATGTTGCGTTGTTATGTGTTGCTAAGTCATTAGGTGGCGTATAGGTAATTAAGGGATTAGGCGAACAATAAGCATAATTTGCATAACTAAGTGTATCCCAATGGAAAGATAGGGATATAATTACGTGTTTGGTGTACGCATAGTTTATTTGATTTTTATGTCAAGGAAACTGTAATGCCTTGGTGGCCGAATGGTATGCCATTGAGGTTTGTCCCATAATAAGGGGGGTTCGAGTCCCTCACATGGCGAAATTTTTATCGAAATGTATAGCAGAGTTATACCCATCTGGGAAGAGATAAGCCGCGTATAGCAGATAGATTTATTACGGGGGCGTAAGACATTAAAAGCGGACGCGTGGCTTTGCGGGCAAAAATTTACACAGGAATTTATATTTAAAACACATTTATTTCTTCAAAACGTTTGATAAAATTTAGTAAGGTCTATTTTTAAGAGCGTAACGTCTACAATTAGTTTCAAAAGTCTTGGGACAGATGCCACAAAACCTTTGAATTTGAACAAACGTCAATCCCCTCCTGCACCCTGTTCAATGATGTGCCCTATTCCCCGTCAGGTTTGATGTGTTTTTGTTGGAGCAACATTGATTGGTGTGGGGGGAGGGGGAGAGGATTTTGTGTGTAAAAAACTGTAATGATCCACTTACAATCTAAAACTACATGTGTCCCAACAACTTCTGAAAGTGATTGTAGCTGGTGTTTTTGTTATTTTTAAAGTGTTCTCATATTCTTGTCTGTCTTCTGGGAATAACTTTGCAAGTTTCTCCGGCTTCATTGGAATATATTTTGGTCTTTCATTTAGTAAATAACGTTTATAACGCTCTCTTTCCTTCGGTTTCATCATAGCCAGATAACTTTCTTTCCAATCAGCAGAATCTACCCAATTGTGAAAAAAGTTGCACTTGAGTTTTGGTCGTTCCTCTTCTGTTGGTGGTGGCGTAAGGAAATTAGGTTTAGGAGTAGCAGGTACTGGTGGTGTCTCAACAGATTCATTATGTTGCGGCATCTCTACAGGCGTTTGCAGTAGCGTAGACAGCCCGACAATTTAGTCCCGCTATGCAAATATTTTCGTGTTTACTGACTGTGAAAACAATCAATTTCTAAAGAAATGAATAATGATAATAATTTTGAATTTGCATAGCGGGACTAAATCGTCGGGTTGGCTACGCCACTGGGCGTTTGTGGGATACTTTCAGCGGGAATTCCAGGTGAAGAATGTGCCATCTTATTTTTGAATGTCAGAAACCAGTTTAGTTGATCAGAATATAATTTGCTTTCTTCCACGGCGCTAAGCTGTGGCGCTTCCATGTTTTCTTTCATTCGCTGCTCGGCATCATACATGGCATTTAGAAGCGGTGGCTGTCGATATGATTGTTTTTGTATAAACTTTGCAATCTCGCCGGGAAGTATATTCGTCTTAAGTCGATCCTGATCACTCGGATTTGATCAAGGGATAGCTACTAATCAAAGAATCAGTACGGAATTTCCACTGGCAAGATCATAAACTGTTAAGGAATTTCCATTAGGCCATCAGCCACTCAGCAGATTTTGACTTTTCGTTTCCCCCACACAGAGACAACAATTTGACGGGTGCAAATGTTGCTTAAAAGCTTATAAGGTCGAATAACAAAATGTTGTAATCGATAACACCTGCAGTTTTGCCAAAAATTGGCCTTCAAATTATGTAATTTTTACATTATATCGTCGCCATTTTTTCACGCATTTCGAAGCAGTGCTTCCATTTGCAATTAAGAAAATTTGCAAGGAAAATTAGGAAATAAAAAGCAAGGAAATAAAATTTAGAAGGAAATGGCAATGAATTTTGTTGTCAGGAAGGGAATAAGAGGGATATATTACGTTATTTCTAATAAATCCTAAGATTACAGCATTTTCCAAGCAAACTCGATTCAGAAAATGTCGAAAATCCTATCCTGTAAAATGGAAAATCCGAAAAAATTTTGAGGGATGACCAACAGCTGAAAAATTTGTTGCGCATGCGCCAGACTTCCATTGAAACTTGAAGATTTCCGTCATTTCCCTGGACTCCCGAAGAAATAAACGAAATGTTCGTGGTTGTTGTATATTTTTGAATATCTGTTTAACCTTTATAATTTTTTTTGCTTAACACAAAGTAGAATATACTCTACGTATCCTGTGTATAGAATATCTCGTTTGAACAGCAATAGAATATTATAATCTTGGCAAAACAAGAAGACATTTGACACGCTGAATCTGCTTTATCTACAGTCATTCCTGGCAATGGTCGCAAGCCTGACAGCTAGCCTTGTCAATCGGGAAACAAGTACAAATTTGAGTTCAAACAGAAAGAAGTCACGATTTTAATACAACTAACATATCTTCTATACAAATACGGCTGTTTTAAAATGTTTTCAATTTGAATTTTCAAACTGCTTTTATCTATCGACATCAGTGGCGTGCTGGCAGGGGCACAGCTGGTACTTGGGGGCGCAGAAATGAAAAGGGGGCGCCGATCCCGCGTCGAATTTTGAAAGTGGGTGGGAAAATACGCATTCGAAAAAATATAGTTACTTCTGCCAAGAAAACGACAAAGTGATATATTAAATTACAGACTATTTTGTCTATTAAGCCGTTTTGCTAATTTGCTACTTCACGGCGCACACGAAATCATTTATATAGGAACATGATTAGTGATCAAACGCAATGTCTCATTACCGAAATATTGGTCAGGTTTGGAAGCGATCACGGGAATTATGCCCTTTTTTGCTGCTATTATGCCCTTATATTACGCCCTTTATTATGCTTCACGAGAGCGGCGCAAATTAGATAGTTGAAGTTATCATAATGTAGTGTACACAATTTAGTTGTTTGCGCAAGAAACATCATGAGTAATGTAAGTAATGAAATAATGCTGAAACGCGCCCTATTGGCAGCCAGGCAAGGAAATCTTAAAATGCATATGCGTGGGGTCCGTGTATTATTGTATAAAAGAGCTGTAAGTTGTAAATGTATTCAGATCACTAGATCAGTAGAGAATAGAATTGGGATTAGATTAATTAATCGCTGGAAGTGGTTAGCATTGCATAATTTAAGTACAAATTGCAAATTTCCACACGTTATAATGCTATTTCCTGACCATCAGATTTCTGTCAAATCGTCCCCCAAAGTCCAGGAAATGGCATTTTAGAGACTCTAAATTCAAAAATCTTCCTGGGGGGCATGCCCCCGGACCCCCCTAGACAAACCTCGTAGGCCTACCTTCGGCGCTCGGCTCGTGCCTTCGGCCCTCGTTTATCAAGTGTAATATTGTAGGGGCGCATATTGGTTGACAGCCCACTGCCCCCCCAGAAAAATAGTACCCAGCACGCCACTGATCGACATGATAATCAAACTGTGCAAATGCCGGCTTTTGTTGAGGCTTGCGAATGCAAAATAACTTCCCGTAAACCGAGCATTTCAACACCGCAAACTCTCGCTTAGTCTTCTGATGCACTTGTACGTTCGGTTCTACCAGTTAAACAAGGAAAATATTCAAGAAACTCTGGTAAATTATGGTTGTCAAAAAACATTTCAGTGCTGAGGCAGTACAAGGTCTCAAGACCAAGGTCAAGTTGTCGATTTCATTACATTTTACAGTGCTTCGTAGCCTGCGAATACAGACTCTATTTATGTCGCTTATTCCACTTGGAGGGGGGGGAGGGGACGCGATAAATAAGTTTTCCCCCAAGTGGAATAAGCGACATAAATGTAGACTGTTTCGCAGGCTAAGTTCTTCGATGTTCTCGAATTCTTGCTTCATACAAGAGCAGTAAACGCACGCATTTCAAAGCGAAATTAGGCGCAAAGGGGCAATTTTTCATCAAAATTTGTTGTTAAATTCTGTTTCGTTAATTAAAACTAAATTTTCAAAACACTAAAAAAACTAGTAAGAAGATAAAAACCTTACTAATTTGATTTTCATTTTGGACAAATTTTGATTAATGTTAATAAACATGTTTATGGAAACAATCGCTTGACGTCCGCATTGCGCTTAATTCCGTTGAGGCATGCATAAATCTGCCTTCCTTTGAAACGCATGCTGGAACGCCCAATTCAAGGTATTATTACGACGGAAACATTTTACTCCTTTCCCCAGTCTCTCTACAGGAGATTTATTGTCCGAAAAATAAAGTTGCTACAGTTAACTATTTGCAGATCAAACATTGACTAAAAATGCTTACTCAGCATTTTTCCAAAACTTTGGTCAGCAATATTTCAGTAACAATTGACCGTACCGGATTATCGTAATATAGTTTTTTTGTACACATGTGATGCTCTATCTGTCAGTATTTTCAAAGTTTTGAATTTCAAATATTTTTAGTTTTCTCATCTATGGATGACGTCATACATAGATAAAAGCAATTTTCTCGAGACCTGCATGTTTGCCGAAGTACAACATTGGTGTTTTATCATTGAAATGGATCCACTCAACATATAATGAAATCAAAATATGGTCTCCGTGGGGGGGAAACGAAACTTGCTTTCCAGCTTCATTCTCGCGAGTGGCTGATGGCCTATATCCATACAGTAAATTTTTAACAAATACTGCCGCACAGAAAAATGATGATTGGGAAGCAAGTGCCCTTTTGAAATGGCTGCCCCCGCCGCTTCACATTGCTTTCGGCACCCCTGCAGGCTATAACTATAAGTGTTATCCGGTGTAAATTATAATGAAAACTTCATCAATAAGGCAATATAATTGATGGATAAGCAAACAAAAACTATCGTAAGTATATACGAACAATAAACACCAGCGAGAAGGAGGGATTTTATGTCATCTGACGTAAATCCCAACTTTCGACTATAGGTGTTTATCATAGTTAATTCATCATTGAGGAGGTTTTCTGAGTTTTCATCTTTTCAGCTAATTAGTATTCAAGGTGATTGATTAAAAATATTCACCTCGGTACATCAAAGAAAACCGACTCAATAATGAATTAATGTATGTTATGTAACACGCGCTCAAAACGCTCAAAACTAACGACTTTACTTTTCCACTTGGTTATGACTATATTCAATTTTTAAATTTTTTATACGTTTCCCAAGCAGCAAAACAAACTCAGTGCTTTAATATCTAGTATAAAATAATGCTAGAAGTTCACTACTGACTAGTTCAGTAAGTTTTGCTTACTTTGCTTCATTTCAATTTTATATCATCAATGATCATTGTTTTTAAATTTACAATATTCATGTAAACTACAAAATGAAATTAAAGCAAAGTAATTTTGAGAGGAACGCCAAACTCATTTTCATAGATTTTGAACACTTCATCGTATTATGTGAAAAAGTTGCCTCTTAATAACTAACTCCAGTCAATCAAAATTGTACGGTTTGTCTTTTGAACTGGAAAACAAGTGAGTTGAAAGCTAGAGAAGTGGGCGGGGACGCAAACAACTTGATTTTTTTAGTTGGCTTAATCGTCCCCTGTTGTAGTAGAGAGGCTTTCTAACCCAGGACTTTGCCGACTTATTTACGTACTTGCTTATTTTCAGGTAGTGATAGAGATATAAAAGATGGTGTGCGTACCATTATTGATCTTTCTTTGCGTAAATGTGTGTTTTGATATAACTAAAGGTAAGTCCAACTAAGCCGTATGAATGTTTCGAACGAGATATTGCATACAGTAGCATGTCACTGAGAGATGCTGAAACGACTAGAGGTCATGGCTGGGGGAGGAGGGAGGACAATTCTTCGTAAAGGGGCACTTTTTAATTGACATAAATCTGGAGTTGGAGTGTGAGGGTGTCAAAAGATTTTTCCTAAATTGAAACTTCAATGTTATAAGGGGTCGGCCATTTAACTTTTGAGGGGGAGGGGGGGGGGGTGATTTACTGCTGGAAGGGTTTTTCCTATCTTATCACCATGTACGATATTTTTTGCCACTCTTTCTTTCGCAGCATTTTTTTTCAATAGCTTGTACTATTTAGATTCTTTAATAATAGTTAACGTTGAGTTTTCTAGCTTCATGCATTGCTTTTAATAGTACATGTTGCTATGAGGTATAACATTTGGTTCTGGGCCTCTTAAACTTTAAGGATGTGTAACTGGAGGGGACATATTTAGCGGGGGACCTGGAGATGTTCCAGTCGGCAAGTCTGTATCACTGCAGCTACCAGCATATATATGCAAGGTTTAACTAATAAGTATACGTTATAGGGCGGCAGATTAGGACATAACTAGGATTCTGAGACAACCGAGTCGACCACCGAAGGTGCGAGCCACTAGTGGGGTCTGGGGGCACGCCCCCCAGAAAATTTTGAATTTCTTGAAGCTCAGATAAGCTATTTCCAGCATTTTGAGGAGTTTTCCAACAAGAAATTAACCTTACACTAGTCCCTGAAAATCAAACCAGCTGATCTTCTGGGACTGGTAAAATCGATCCCTGCAATCATTCTGTTTTGCAACATTTTTTCCCATCAAATACTGGGGCAAGATACCCCCCCCCCCAGTTTGTTAGTGCAGGTATTGTTTTTCGTTCAGAATAGCCTTGCAGGCTAGTTCACCCCCCCCCCCCTCAAAAGTTAAATGGTCAGCCCCTAAATTTACCTGTTTCCCTTCAATGTATTCATTATCATTTGGAATTGCTATAATAAAACACGAATTTCGTATGTGTTTCTCAAGCGGATAAAGAGTGGAATCGTAACTTCTTAATTAGGCTCATTGACATATTGAGAAAATATTTTAACGTTTTATTTATTTTCACGTTTTACGTTGATCAAATTTGGCGAATATTCTTCCACACGTGCGGGCTCGTATTGTTAGCAGACATCTTAAAAATTGACTGCTGTCTCAGCACCCGTTCCGCACGTTGTCAACAATATAGTATTGTAATTATCAACCGTTATCAGCAATAAGTCAGATGCAAAGCTTTCAATTTTTTATCGTACGTCCACTGAAAGTACGAGCCTGCTGTACTGAAAGAAAATTTGACCAGCGTGTTTACACACGTGCAGGATTCGGGTCAACTTTGCGTGGCATATATAACACAGTGTTTGGGTTTTTCTCGTCTATCATGTTCCCTGATAAGTGTAAAGAGGGATAGATATTGTCGTAGTGTATAATGCAATAGTGTATGCGTAGTGTAATATCGCGTTAAATCCGATTTACCAACGGTGGACCAACAGCCTTTTCTCCGTTTCCATATGTGTCGTTCGGATTATAACATTATAGAATAGCGAACAGGTTTATTACATTCCATCTTCTATTCCATTCCAAATTAGTCTACTCTATTCTATTCCGTAGAATTTCATTTTATACGATTCCATTCCATTTTGTTCTATTTCGGGTTTTTTTCTATTCCATTATATTCTATTCCATTCCACTTTATCCTATTTTTTTCGTTCCCATTACATTATGTTTCATCCAATTTTATTATCTATATATACCATTATATTCTTTTCTACTTTATTCTATATCATTTATTTTTTCATCTTTTTTATTCTATTGTATTCCATTTTATCCTATTCTAATCGGTTCTTTTCCCTTCCATTCTATTCACTATTCTATTCTGTTTTATTCGACTTTATATATTCTATACTATTATATTCCAATCTGTTCTATTCCAATCTATTCTATTCCATTCTATTCTATTCTATTCCAGCAACTGATGGAATAAAAACGAACACAACTCTCAAATCTTCAGTAGTCAAAAAGAAGAATGTAGAACATGAAGAACACAAACTTCCGAGCAAAAGAATGATGAGCAATTATAAGAAATCTTCTTGGAGCACGGGAAACTGGGGTGGTGGCGGCGGAGGGCAAGGAGGAGGAGGGGGGAGCAGTTGGCAGAGCAAATGGGGTCAGGGTGCTGGCCAGGGGAATATGGGAATGGGTGGTGGAGGAGGGGACAAAAGTTGGCAAAGCCAAGGGAGTTTTGGAGGTGGTGGACAGGGTGGAAAGGGAGGGGCTAGTGGTGGTCAGGGAGGAGCTGGTGGTGGTCAGGGAGGGACTAGTGGTGGTCAGGGAGGTGGGATGAGTGGCGGGATGGGTGGTGGGTTTGGAGGTCAAATGGGAGGGGCTGCGGGCCATGGTGGTGGTGGAGGAGGAGCGCGTGGTGGTGGTGGAGGAGGAGGGATAAGTGGTGGTATGGGTGGTGGTGGATTTGGTGGAGGAGCGCGTGGTGGTGGTGGAGGAGGAGGGATGAATGGTGGAATGGGTGGTGGTGGATTTGGTGGAGGAGCGCGTGGTGGTGGAGGTGGAGGGATGAGTGGTGGAATGGGTGGTGGTGGATTTGGTGGGGGAGCGCGTGGTGGTGGTGGAGGAGGAGGGATGAGTGGTGGTATGGGTGGTGGTGGATTTGGTGGAGGAGCGCGTGGTGGTGGTTTTGGAGGAGGGGGAATGAATGGTGGAATGGGTGGAGGTTTCGGAGCTGGATTTGGTGGAGGTGGTGGGGGTTTTGGAGGAGGCGAAGGATTGTCAGGACGTCGTCAAGGTAGGTTGATCTAAATAAGAATTTAAGGTGATTACATTCTTTGGAAAAACTACATTCTTGTATATATCGCAGTTCATCGGTGATATATATTGTCGGTGAAGTTAATGTATATTGTCAAAACAAACCTCGTCACCTCTCCTCTCCATTGCAACTCCAAAACAACTTTGGAAGTTTACCGGCATGACACAAGCTCAACATTGAGTTGGGAGAGTGAGGGCTGCGCCATATATGGCATATTGATATTGTTTAATTAACAGCAGTAATTATATATTGACATTGTCATAAACACCGGAACTTCCGGTTTATCGCTAGTCACTCATGTGACTGCTTGTACTTGTACTACCTAATCATAGAACAGCCGATCATATACTAACCCTAAAATCTTTAATAGATAAGTATGTAAACCAAACAACTAACGGGAAAATATATGCATGCTTTGTTGATTTCAGAAAAGCTTTCGACTCTGTTTGGCATGATGGAATGCTTTTAAAACTTCTGCGGAACAAAATTGGGGGGAAATTTTACAATTTGATTAAAAATCTTTACTCCAACTCCCAGTGTGCTGTTAAGCAATCGCAACATAGAACACCTTTCTTTCCATACTCCAGAGGAGTTTGACAAGGATGTATTTTAAGCCCACTGCTATTTAATATTTATCTAAACGATTTGCCCCAATTATTCAATAATTTAGCCTCTGACCCACTCATGCTTCCTAACACAACCAAACTGAACTGCTTATTATATGCAGATGATCTTATCTTACTGTCAAGATCAAAACAAGGCCTTCATAACTGTTTAGATCAGCTAAACAGCTGGTGTGAACAATGGTTAATGGAAATTAACTTGAAAAAAACAAAAATAATGATTTTTCAAAAATCGACTAAAAAACAGCAAATACCACTCTTTTCTACAGGAAATAGAATTTTGCAAATAACACTCTACACCTACCTAGGACTAAAATTTACACTTACTGGAAAATTTACTTTAGCAATGAAAACTCTAGCTGACAAAGCAATACAAACTCTGTTCGCTATAAAGAAAAAAGTTGACTTTTCCAATTTAAAACCAAAACTAGGAATTAAAATTTTTGAAAGCATAATATATCACCCATTCTATATAATTCCGAAATATGGGGAGCATTCACTTGTATTCCAATAGAAAAATCCCATTTAAAATTTTGCAAACTCTACCTAGGTATTAATAAAAAAGCAACTAACGTTGCATGTAAAGGAGAATTAGGCAAATTCCCCCTATTGATAAATATTCATAAAAGAATAATTATATATATTATACATATCAACACACTTCCAGATTCTGTCATTGTGAAACAAGCATTTCTACTATCCAAAAATCTATATTTGAATAACCAACAAAGTTTTTATCTAAATGTAATGAAAGTACTTAAATCCTATGACCCATTCTTTGAATTGAATGAATTAGAAACCATCACACAAGATCAATTAACCAGATATATTAATAATATCAAAAATAAATACACAACTTTTTGGGAACACACACTGATTAATTCCTCTAAATTATCTTTCCTATCCTCCTTCAAATCAGAATTTAAACTAGAAGAATACCTTAGTTCTATAAAGAACCCGTCGTATAGAAGATTACTCAGTAGGCTAAATTTCGAACCAGTTCCCATAAACTACACATTGAATCCGGACGATACAACAAAACTCCCCGTGAACAACGTTTATGCGAGAACTGCGACACCAATGAAATAGAAGATGAATATCATTTCACACTTTCATGTAAATATTATGAACAACAAAGAAATGATTTAACAAATACTCTACAAAATGACTTTAATGTACCGTTAAATTTCCGAACAACTGATGACTTACTAAACATATTGTCATCGAATAATCCCGATTTGCTCAACATTTTCTCAAAATTTCTTTTCGTTTGTTTTAAGAAACGTAATGAATGCCTTGAAACTAGGTTACATTCGAAGTAGTTAACTTTCTTAAAATTTGATACTTATATATGATAATTAATTATTTCATAATTCAAATCTTTGATATTGTAAATAAATAGTCAGAAATCCTACAACATTTGTTATTTTGTAAAGTAAAGTAAAATAGATATAAAACCTATTGATATTGTTAATCACATTTTATGTAATATGTTATTGAAAACTTTAGCAATACCTTGTAAATAAGTCATGCGAATAAAGTAATAAAATAGAAATAGACTTCGAGAATACGAATTGCTCTGTAAAAACATACAGTTTTATCGTTCGTTATTTATGAGTCTTTCTTCTTTACTGGCGTGGTGGCAGCGATTTATTTCCTTATCCTTCGATCTCTAACACAGCAGAGATCATAATACACAGCTCAGAAGAAAGTGTCTCGTACCAAAACAAGGTAAAAGCGAAGCAGTTTTCAGTTGTTCTACGAATCAGAGCTCGTACAGCAAGACCTCGTGAGTGTCCATACTAAACGTAAGTCAATTGTTCGTATAGTCAGTAGTTGTCTTTCTCGTTAGTATGGCAAGCAACCGTGCCCCAAAACAGTGGTCTCCCACAAAACAAGAAACAATAACATCGTTTGAAGCATGGCGTCAAAATTTACAATATACATTATCGTTAGACCCAAACTTCGCCCCATTTTTGATCGATGGGGTAACCTGGCTAAAAAAGAGCACCGCCGCCCCACTACGCGGTTTCGAAAACGATGCGATACTGTACCCGTAGCACGCCGCCGTACTGCAGAGCAAAAAGCAGCCAACTGGAGCTTATATCGGGCCAAATAGCCAATTATTGCCCCGTAATTTCCCGAAATACTATTGTCAAAAACTCGACATCTTTGAGCACTATTTGGCAAGCGATTCGGGCTCACTTTGGGTTTCAGTCCACAGGTGGTCATTTCTTAGACTTTAATAACATTCACTTAGAAACTGACGAGCGTCCGGAAGACCTTTACCAAAGGCTTGTTAGCTTCATTGATGACAATTTGCTCAAAGCTAATGGTGGTATTCGACACCATGGTGAAAACGATACAGCTGATGAAGACATCTCCCCAACAATGGAGAACATAATTGTGTTGACATGGCTACGCCTCATCCATCCTTCTTTACCGGCCCTAGTCAAACAGCGCTATGGTGCTGAACTTCGATCACAAACTGTCGCGTCCCTCAAACCTGAAATTTCCCAAGCACTAGACTCCCTCCTTGACGAAATTAACTCTGCCAACGATGCAAAAGTCCTCCGTACTGCTTTCCAACAATCCCTCAAACACCCTCAATCCAGTAGTCGCCGTCAAACCCCTACAGCCCTACCACGGACATCTAAAACCCCCAACAAAAAGTTGCCCCTTGTGCAGAGAAGCAGGTCGACAACACCAACACTACCTGAGTAAGGTGCCCCTACCTCCTGGTCGAAGACAAGCAATACCTCTCCCGCTCAAGACAGGTAGTCGGCACAGAACCGGGGGACCCGCTATCTGATTGCGAAGTAGAAGACCTACAAGATTCCCATAACTACCGAATCAAGCCTGACTACCACCAACCGAGTTAGTGTTAAGCAGTCACCCCATCTCCAGGCCTTCTATGCCCATCACCCACTACTCTTGACATTAGACACACGAGCAGAAACAAGTGTGATAAAGACCAGCATTGCCAATGAAATTGGAGCTACTATACAGAAGACTACTCGGAAAGCCCTCCAAGCAGATGGTATAACCCAGTTAGCCGTCGTCGGAGAAGTCCATTTGACTTTGTCCCGTAACCACCTTAATTTGCAGTTGGATGCACTTGTCGTTGATAGTTTGGACGTCGATGTATTAGCCGGGACTCCTTTCATGATCACCAATGACATCTCCCTCCGTCCATCCAAGCAAGAAGTCACCATTCAAGGAAGCGAGAACGTGTGTTATGGCACCAGACAACCAGCTGGGACCATAGGCTCGGTCCGACGAACACAAAGTACAGTCCTTCGTGCCCCATCATCCTCCACCGTAATTTGGCCAGGACAGTACCTTGAATTAGACCTTCCCGATCACGTAGACCCGGATTCTATCCTTGCCCTAGAACCCCGTAAGGATTGTTCTAGATCAGACTGTGAGTGGCCAAGCCCCCATATTGTACAGGCAGTCGCAAGAAAGATCCGTATACCCAATCAGACCCCTCACCCTAAACATATCCCTCGTCATGACCATCTGTGTCAGGTCCTACCAACCTACATCCCATATCCACACCCCGACGTTCCCAAATCTAGCAACAGCGCCCCAGTAGCACCCTCCTCTCCTACACCCCATGAACATTCCTTATCTGTCCAGCTGGACCCCGATTCTATCCTTTCAAAGAGCATGCACTCTGAATTCAGCCGGTTAGTTAAAGAATATGACGATGTTTTTGATAAAAATATCTCTGGATACAACGGTGCTGCCGGTCGCTTTGAAGCTGTCATAAATATGGGCCCAGTACAACCACCACAACGCAAAGGCAGACTCCCCCAATATGCGCCGAACAAGCTGGTCGAGCTTCAACACCAATTTGATGAGCTTGAATCGCTAGGCATTTTTCAGCCCCCTGAAAACCTTGACATAACCGTTGAATACCTTAATCCATCATTCCTCATTAAAAAGCCAAGTGGAGGACACCGACTAGTCACTGCCTTTGCTGATGTTGGTCGATACAGCAAGCCACAACCATCTCTATTACCCGATGTCGATTCTACCCTCCGAACAATCGCCAAATGGAAGTACATCATCGTATCCGACCTTACCAGCGCTTTCTATCAGATACCACTTGCTAAAGGTTCCATGAAGTACTGTGGCGTCGTGACTCCATTCCGCGGCGTTCGAGTCTGCACCCGATCAGCTATGGGCATGCCAGGGTCAGAAACAGCCCTCGAGGAGCTCATGTGTCGCATACTCGGTGATTGCCTAGAAGATGGAATCGGTGCAAAGGTTGCAGACGACTTGCACTGCGGTGCAGACTCGCCTGAGGAACTGCTCATCAACTGGAAGCACAGGAGGCCCAGGCTCGATTTGCCCGCGCCCGCCTGTGCCTTCCTTATAACGAGGGAAGGAAGGAGACATTGAGACCAAAATAGCCCAGACTTGCATATGTCACACGAAACTATCCTCGATTTTTCACCTTTAA